TAACTGAATCTTGCACTGATGTTCTTTGAAGCTGGCCACTGGGTATGTTGGTTTGGGGTCTCTTGGAGGGACTCTGGTGTGAATCAATGTCAGCTGCTGCCTATAACTCGCCCCAGGCAATGTGTTTAGAACTACAAAGACATCCACAATTTGTGGGTGCTTCTGCTGGACCTGAGTGTGCACAAAGGCTGCCTTTTACCAGCACCAGGTCCAGGGTATGTGAGCTACACACCTCAGGCATCCCAAGATCTGCCTCTGCCTACCAACTGCCTACTAGGCTCAGTCACTGAAAGAGCCTCTGGTGGTGTTTGAGTTGCACAAGGTCGGTCCTCCTTGAGCCACAAGACAGAGGCGATGGGGTTCACCAGATTAATATAGGTTAAAACTCGGTGCCACTGCTGGGTCTGTAGCCACTCAGCAAATGTCCAGGGCGTACCAAGTCTACCTGCCATCCACTGGGCATTCTTGCACACCTTTGTGGTGGGGTGTGGTCACAGGGAGTCATCAGAGTGAGGCCAGCAGTGTGTATCAGGCCCAAACAGACCAAGAGTGGCCATGTGAACCTAGGGCTCTGCACCAGTCAGGCATGTGAAGGGAAAATGGCCCCTGTCCTAGACCCCAACAGGGTGGAGCCTTGGGAAGCACAGAAAGTGAGGAAAAGGAAACTCCCTTGAGGGGGAGGCACCAGTCAGTTCATAGTAAAGTGGGGACACTGGGCCCATCCCAGAGCCACACAACTCAGTCACTGACACCCCCAAGTCTGTCCATACCTCTACACCCTGACTCAGACAGCTGACTCCTCAGCAGGATGCAAGTTCCACAGGGTGTGGCAACAGGGAGTCGAGATTTAGGGGCTATTGCCTTCACCCAGGCTGAGCCCATGGAATCACCTGCTCCATCCAAGAAAATTGGCATCTACAGTGCAGGAGAGTTACTCAGGACAGCTGAGGTACTCTCCTGATAGCTCTAGGTGCTGTCCCCTCAGCCCCAAACCTGTCTCTCCTCACTTGATTTTAGTCATATCCTCCCCTCCTTTGCCAGAGCCCCAGGTGAGTGTCTGGGAATGCGATTTTGTGTTGACACTTTAAGAGGGCACCTGGGTCTCTAGCAGACTCCCATCTCTCCCTGGCATTTCTCCCTGGCACACAGAATCCCAACAGGTTTTCATAGCCAGGCTTTATGTGGGCATCTCTTCCCAGCTCTGGTGCTCTGGGCTGCAGAGCCCAGCTTGGGGTTGACACCCCACTCTGCTCAGGGGGTATGTTTGCAGCTGAGATATCCCTCTGGAATCTCAGCATGGCCCATGGGAGCAGGGACAGCCCTTTCTGTGTCTTTGCCTTACTACCAGTCTTATTGTGGCTTCTTCTATGAATCCTTGGTTCTAAGACTCCTGTTAAGATAGCCTTCAATTGGTTATTCAGTCTGATTGCTCTCTTTTAGTTGTAATTCCAGTTTGTTCCTGGGAGGAGGTGAGTGTAGCTTCCACCTACTCTGCTGCCATCCTCTGAACCCACTATCTTTAATCTGGGTATATTTCCCTGTATTCTTTTTACATCCAATTTCCACATTCTTTTAAAATTCCATTTTCTAAGAACTGGTTTCTGTATAAATGCACACCTTTGTGAAGATGTGCATTTGACAAAGCAGAAGTGGACAAAGCAGATGAGGTTCCTTCTCATTTGATCTTGCACTAAGTGAGGGGTAAGTGTATGTATGACACAAGGCCCTTGGGGGTACAGCATGTGAAGAAAGGGGACAGATTACCTGGCCTGAGGAGGATTGTATAGCAAATGGTCTGGGGACCTGGGGTCTCTTCATGTTGGACAAGGAATGAAACCAGAACTGGGGTGTGCCTGTTGAATGTGTCAAAAAACAGATCAAATCCCAGAGCCCAAAAATGACAAAGAAAAAATGCCCCAAAAGGCCCATCTCATCTACTGTTGGGCCATAGAAAATCAAGGGTGTCTGAATGAACAGGGCATAGGTGCAGGAATGGCAATTAGGTCAGGATCCGAGAGGTAGGGTCTGAAGAGGCCAGTAGAGTGGTAGAGGGGTCAGTTTCTTTAATGGTTGTTTAAATACACAACAGGACATGGCCATCCTGATATGGAGCCCAAAGGATTTTGTCCACAGGAGGTATACGACAGGAATTGCTGGAAACCATTTTTACAGTGTACAGGGCAACAATCTCGCCAACTTAGGTTGTAGCCACTCCTAACTGAATCAGTATGGCCAGGCCTGAGAAAGACAGGGAAATAATACAATGGTCATAGTGTGTGTGTGTGTGTGTGTGTGTGTGTGTGTGTGTGTGTTGTATGTGCGTGGCTTGTGCATGTGAGCAGTCCTCAAAACAGGGGGACTAGGGAGCATGTATGGCAAGGTAACTCTTATAATACAGGAGCCAAAACTCAATCAAGAGGAGGCACTGAGGAGGGGATCTGTCTCCTTCATGGGACACATTTGCAACAAGATTAATCAAGAGCAACAGGAGTGTGGACAAGGAAGTAGTCCCTGTGTCTGAGGTTGCAGCAGTAGCAGCAAGACCACATCACTCCAATGTGTCTGACACCTTGTCTCCTCCTCTTCCTCATGCTCATTCACTGCCAACGCTGGCTCCCTTTCTCAGGCTGCACATGAAAACAAATGCACAGACCAATCCCTCTGCTGGCCACACACGTTCCCACATAACCTTGAATCTCCTTCCTCTCTTACTGGAGCTCTCTGCACTAATGCTATTTTGTTTGGGGTCTTGCATAAATACCCACGAAAAATTGAATACCCAATTCATTTCTTTATACCTGCTTTCCTTTCATCATACCACCTGTCACCGTCTGAACCATCTGAAATGTGATAGAGTTTTATTATTTGCTTCTATGTTCTTCCTCTATCATTGCCTTGTAGCAAATTTTCTTCCTCAGCACACAATACTCACAGCCTGGACAGTGCAGAAAACATGGTCAGTGCTCAATTTGCACTTCTAAAATGTGAGGGTTGGGCCAAATTAACTGGAATTATCTTTTTTAGTGTGGGCACCTTGTAGTGCAGGCTTCCCTAGCTAAGTAAGTGTTCTAGGAATCCATCTGTATCAGTGTACCTGCTGGTGTTCTGACAGTCTGCATTTGGCTCCTATGAATCATTTTTGAAGACTCTTCCAATGCTTTTGGTGAATGCACCTGCCCACACCACACTGAGTGATCAGCAATTTTTGACCACAAACAGCATGACCGCCTTGTCCCGCATTCCCTATTCACCAAACCTCACCCTGTGAGACTGTTTTTGTTTCCTGGAATGAAAAAGGCCCTCCAGGGGAAACGTTTTGGCCATGTGAAAGAAGTGAAACAAGAAACAGAAGAAGCACTAAAAGACATGAAAATGCATGAGCTCAAATATTGTTTTGAGCAATGGGAAAACATCTCCATAGGTGTATTGCACCTAATGGAAAGCCCTTTGAAGGTGACTGAAATTTAAATATGTAAAAATAAATGCACAATATTTGATAAATAAACCCATGGATTTAGTGGGTCGCTCTGTTACAGGATGCAGCCAAGAGGGAGTATCCCAAACAGGCATTTGAAACGGGGTCCAGAACTCAAGATGTCCAGAAGATTTTAAGGTGTCTTCACCCCTTCCCCCACAGGTGTGAGTTGGGAGAAGGGGCACACAGAGCAAGAACATGCAGGGCAGCTTTGCAGCTAATCCATGGCGTGGTCATTTAGCATACCTATAGCCTTAGACTTCTTGCTTAAATATGCTAAATAGCTATGGCCAGGCTCAAGGCCAGGGGGATAGAAAGGGATCCCCCCTACCCTGCAAGATGTGACTGGGGGGCAGGTCCCCCGAGTTACAGCACCTGCGTGGGAGCTCGGAGAAAATTGGCTCCAGGACATGGGGTCACACCTGCCCAGACCCACGATGGTGACCAGAAAACCTGGAGAAGACAGCAGATTGAGGGCAAGTGTGCCCAAGTGTAGGAGGAGTCGGAAATGGGGCTGCAGAGGAAGACTGGCGCGGGGATTTAAACTCAGACATGGCAGCCATTGAGGGAGAACCACGCAGCCTGGACAGAGTGGGGACTCTCCCTTCCCGCAGCCCTGAGAGAGGGAGAACCACATGGCCTGGACAGAGTGGGGACTCTCCCTTCCCGCAGCATTGAAGAGAGAACCACGCGACCTGGACAGAGTGGAGACTCCTGTAGCCTTGGGAGAGAGGACCACGTGCCTTTGCCAGAGTGGGGACCCCCGCAGCTTTAGAAGGGGGAGCCACCACCTGGTTTTAGCAGAGATCCCGGTGACTGAACGGAAGGTGCCAGGAACCCAGGGAGGTCTCCCAGTCGAGATGGAGTACTAACTGGGAAGAACCAGAGGACTGCCTGAGCCATGGACTTCTATTTCCTTTCCTGAGATACGGTACTCTGGACTGGGCAAAGGGGGAAGGAAGGACTGTGTCTGTTTGTGGGTCTTTTAAAAGGGACTTTAGGATTTTTGATAAAGACATTAGGTCACTACTTTAAGTTTGTATAGCATTAAATAAACATTTCCTTTCCTTTTCACGAATCTCTGGCATTGAGAGACGTCTTTCCTCGGGCGGCAGACATGATGGACCTGGGGGCTTTTTTTTCAATAATAGTATATCATTCCAGGCCCCCCTTGTTTTTTCTGTAACACCACATCACAAATGAAAAACTTCTCATTAAACCGTTGAATAAATGATGCCTTTGGGAAAAAGATGATTGATGTAAAAGTTGCATATCACAGGTGTCATGGGGAATTTCCTGAAAGGGGGTCATACCTACAGACAATATGTGAAATTAATTTTTGACTGACAACATAAATTGTAGTATTGCTAACTTTTTATGAATTAGTCATATTATTTTCCTCTTTCCTAGTAGTCATCTCCACCATATGGAACCAGGCAATGGTACACAAATTTCAGAATTTCTTCTCCTGGGACTATCAGAGGAACCAGAACTGCAGCCCATCCTATTTGGGCTGTTCCTCAGCATGTACCTGATCACTGTGTTGGGAAACCTGCTCATCATTCTGGCTGTCAGCTCAGACTCCCACCTTCACACACCCATGTACTTCTTCCTCTCCAACCTGTCCTTGACTGACATCTGTTTCACCTCCACCACCATCCCAAACATGCTGGTGAACATCCAGACACAGAGCAAAGCCATCACCTATCCAGGCTGCATCACTCAGATGTATTTTTTCCTCCTCTTTGCAGGGCTGGATGACTTCATCCTTACTGTCATGGCCTATGACAGGTATGTGGCCATCTGTCACCCCCTGCACTACACAGTCATCATGAACCCCCGGCTCTGTGGACTGCTGGTCCTGGTGTCCTGGGTTACGAGTTCCCTGTATTCCTTGTTGCAAACCTCAATGGTATTACAATTATCCTTCTGTGCAGACTTGGAAATCCCTCACTTTTTCTGTGAATTCAATCACATGATCCAACTCGCCTGCTCTGACACCTTTCTTGAAAACATCATGGTGTATTTTGGAGTTGGGATGCTGGGTGGTGGTCCCTTTGCTGGGATCCTTTACTCTTACTCTAAGATAGTGTCCTCCATACGAGCAATCCCATCAGCTCAGGGGAAGTATAAAGCATTTTCCACCTGTGCATCTCACCTCTCAGTTGTCTCCTTATTTTATGGTACCAGCCTAGGCGTGTATCTCAGCTCTGCTGGTTCCCACCACTCCCAGTCAAGTGCAACAGCCTCAGTGTTGTACACTGTGGTCACACCCATGCTGAACCCCTTCATCTACAGTCTCAGGAACAGAGACATAAAGAGGGCTCTGAGAAGATTAGTTGGAGTGGCAACTATGAAAGGACCAATTGTCCTTGGGCTAAGGAAGTGCTTGTGATTGCAGGGCTCAAAGCCTCGGAGCCAGATGTTGTGACTCTTCAATCAGGTTGTGGTTTTAAAAGTTGCTCCTTTTTATATCCTAAGAACACTAAAACACCAATACAAAAGAACCTTTGCACCCCGATATTCATAGCAGCACAATTTACAATAGCTAGGTGCTGGAAGCAACCTAGATGCCCATCAGTAAATGAATGGATCAAAAAACTATGGTACATTTACACAATGGAATTCTATGCAGCGGAAAGAAAGAAGGAGCTCCTACCCTTGGAACAGCTTGGATGGAGCTGGAAAGCATTATGCTAAGCGAAATAAGCCAGGCAGTGAAAGACAAATACCATATGATCTCACCTTTAACAGGAACCTAAACAACAAAACAAAGAAACAAGCAAAATATAACCAAAGACACTGAAATAGAGGACAGGCTGACAGTGACCAGAGGGGAGAGAAGAGGGAATTTCAGGGGAGAATGGGAAGGGGTTACAGGAACAAATTTAAAGGACACATGGACAAAAACTAGGGGGAGGTTGGTAATTGGAGGGAAGTGGGGAGGGCTGGGTGGGTGGGCTGGAATGGGAGTAAAAGGGAGAAAACTGTACTTGAACAATCATTAAAATAAAATTTAAATTTAAAAAAAAATTTTAAAGAAAATAACACACACACACGTGGGCATACGTGTGCAAAGTTGCTCCTTTTTCTTATTTGCTGGAATTCCCATTTGTTTGTTTCAACTTCTCCATGCAGTTTAACTGGCCACATATTTCAGCTTTCTGCTCTGTCATACAGTTAGTTTCTCCCTGAGTTTTGTTTCTACCTTTACAGTTTTGCAAACTTAATCAGAAATACCTAACATCCCAGTTTATTTCATGGGCAACAGGGATTTAAGAAAAACTTCTTCTCCAATGATGTACATCACTGCATGTATCTTGTTCTTATTTTATGGACCAAATAGTCCCAAGTGGTATTACTCAGGTGGACAAAACTGAGCTTGGCTACACACACCATTCACAAAACTTTATTCCAAGAAATCTAAAACCACTGTTTTCACTTTTGTGTCCCTCTTTCTTTGTACATAGCTACCTTAACTGCTCTTCCTGAGGATGCAGACTTGAGCATTGTGTTGTTTAAGTCTCAGCCTATTGATAGTGGTGCTATAGGCTAGGAAGGCCTGGGGCACTGGCTGGGTCCTACTGCTCACTATTCAGACTACAGTAGTGGCCGGACTGGTCCTTGTGGTCCTGATAATAGTTGCTACACCCATTAGGAAACCAGGAAAACACGAGGGTCATTACTCACACAGCTCTCAGGGACCACAGATTAAGTCATGGGGGGAGAGAGAAAGAGAGAGAATGTACTGGAACTCTGCCTTTGTCGTGGCTGTGGCAGTGCAGGGAGAACCACGCGTCTTTGGCTGAGTGGGGACCCCACGGCTTTGGGGTGCTCCCTTTTGCCATGTGGCTTAGCAGACAGGAGAGACTTTGCCTGAAAGAAAAGAGGTGAAAGGACTCTTGCTGGTGGACCATGAGAAGATTGCACATGACTTTGGATTTACTGGAGATCGTGGCAGCAATACAGCTGATGGTGCCGGGAGCCCCAATCCTGGACATCTACTTCTTTTCCTGAGATACAGTACCCCAGACAAGGGCAGAGGGAGAAGGAAGGACTGTGTGCATCTGTGGGTGTTCTAAAGGACTTTAGTATTTTAATGAAGACATTAAGTTGTTACTCTAAGTCTGCATAACTTTTAAATAAACAGTTCTTTCCTTTTCACAAATCTCTGGCATTGAGTCGTCTTGCCTCTGGTGGTGGGCATAGCGAACCTAGTAGGGGGGGCGCCCGGATAAAAACGGGGGTCCTCCTGGCTGGCATAGCTCAGTGGATTGAGGACGGACTGCGAACCAAAGCATCGCAGGTTCCATTCCCAGTCAGGGCACATGCCTGGGTTGCAGGCCATAGCCCCCAACAACTGCACATTGATGTTTCTCTCTCTCTCTCTCTTTCTCCCTCCCTTTCCTCTCTAAAAATAAACAAAAAGAATCTTTTTTAAAAGATTTTAAAAATATTTTTAAAAAACAGGGGTCCTTTTTTGTAATAGTATATTGTACACCCCCTGGGTCGGTCCTGTAACAGGAACATGATGATTACATTAGTCCAATTGCATATTTATCATCCAACTTCTTATCTAAAAGTCAGCTGATCAGCAAAAGTAGCCCATCTACTATTTCAGTGCCCCCTCCCATGGTGTAAAAAAATAACATGTTTAAAGGTTCTGGGGATTAGGATGCAGACCTCTTTTGGAAGATCCTATTTATCTACTATAAAGTCTTCTTTTTTTAATACATTATTTGGTGTCATTCTAAGGTCTGTATTTTCAAAATGGACAAAGCCTTTTTCAGAAGCTCATTATTTGATGCTGTTCAAGAGCCTTTATACCAAAGACCCAAACTCAGAATTTATAACAGCTTCTGGAGTAAGTGAATACACTATTAATTCAAATTATATGCAAATGAAATGTTGGTTCAGAAGGCCTAACACAGCCTGCACTAGACTCTGACCCTGAGCCACAGCTTTGGTGGTCAGGGAGTGGTCCTCAGGCCAGGAACACCTGGCCTCAACACCACCTGGGAGATTGTTTGATTTTCACAATCTCTGGCCCACCAGGATCTGCAAAAGAACTAGAATCCTGGGTGATCCGTGTGCACACTGAAGTTGGAGAAGTGCTGCTCTAGGCTAGGCTTTCTCACCTTCTCATGTTGACAATGGAGACAGGATAATTATTTGTGATGGGAATTACAGGTGTTTAGCAGCCTCCCTCCAGACATTGTCAAACATCCCCAGGAGCAAAATCACCTCAGGCTCAGAATCACTGGCCCAGGGTTTGAAAACTGGAAGCAACCTGATAAATTCCAATCAAGGCCCCTCTCTGGCCCTGGCCTGTACAGCATTGGCTGGAGAGTGGTCCCAATGCTCCAAGGTTGCAGGTTCAATGTCCAGGCAGGGCACATGCAAGAAACTCCAATGAGTGTGTGAATAAGTGAAATAACAAATCTATGTTCAATTTCTCTCTGTTTCTCTCTCTCTCTCCCCCACCCCTCACACAAATAAAAATGTTTAAAAAGGAATCGTGGGTGGTGGGGGTGTGTGGAGGTGGAAAGGAGTATAAGCAGGATAAATGGTAGTAGAAAAATACAATAAAAAAAATAAACTGTTTTTTAAAGTTTGTAAAATCTACAACAAAAAACAGAAAATCTAAAAAATTAAAAAGAAGCCCATCTCTTACTCTGTCCATCCCTTAATCAGTTGGTAGATCACTAAACCCCTTCAAGTCCCATTCTGCAAAGGGGAATAGAGTCATAACAATACTACCTCGTGCAATGGACTTTTCAAAAATTTTAATCAGATGGTGCTTATAAGATGCTTAGCTCAGCCCTGGCTGGTGTGTCTCAGGTGATTGAGTGTCAGCCTGCAACCCAAAGTGTTGGTGGTTCCATTCCCAGCCTAGCACACATGCCTGGGTTGCAGGCCACATCCCCAGAAGGGGGCGCACAAGATGCAACTACATGTTGATTTTTCTTTCCCTCTCTCCCTCCCTTCCCCTCTCTCTAAAAATAAATAAAATCTTGAAAATAAAAAAAAAAAGATGCTAAGCTGAGGTTATGTGGCATAAGAATTTCTGAGTATATCTCTCATAATTAATATATTTTATAGTGAGGCACTAAATGACAGCTCTTAAGTTATGAAAGAAGTGAAAATCTCTATTATTTTGACAAATGTGTCAGGAAGAAAAAGAGTGTGGTGCCCAGGACTGCATATCAAAGAAACACAGCTCCCCCCTCATTGAAGAGGGGACAGCAGTGCTCTGGAGAAGGGTCAGTGGGACCTGGTCCTGATAGATTTCTTAGTCTCAAACGTTGCAGAAAAGGTTAACTCATCAGAGTTGGGATAAGGTGGAGAAGTCAGACCTCTGGAAAACAGGAAGATCAAGGACAAGGAGAAATAAAACTGACTTTACTCAACTTCTGTTCTGGTAGCTTGGGATCAGAAAATCATTAAGGAAAGTTTCCTTTGTTATTTCCAGAGGCCCAGGGAGAAATCAGGTACTTAGAGGTGGGATACCATGAGGGAAATGTGCCTGATGAGCAATTATAGAGAGACTATAAGTATCTCCCTGTGCAGCCCTTCAGCTTGTATGTTGCTAGGCAGAATGTGTCTTGTTGTTAATTCCCAAATCTGGCTCAGAAACTGATGCTTCACTCCCTCCTGCTGCCTTGTGTGGAACAGAGCTTCAGTCTCCATCACCCACCATCCAGGGAGCAATTCTGACTGGCACACAGAGACCTTCCTTTCAGAAAACCCATCCAGGGAGTCTGAGAGCCTGGTAGGTACATCAGGAAAGGGTCAGAGAGAATGAAACCTGAGAATTTTTACCTGGGGCACTGCAACCCTAATCAGCCCAGCCCTGAGACCAGATACCTCTGTTTGTATTCTTGGTTACGGAACTAATTTATATTTAATTTACTTAATATATTAATAAGGATGCATCTGTTTGAATCTGAGATCCGTGGCCATGGCTGACAATTAGGTGATGGGACTGGGAGTCCAGTGGGAAGACGCTGCACAATGACTGAGATGCAGGAAGTGGTTGCAGGCAAATGAAAACACTTCTGAGGAGTTTTGCTGTTTTGGGAAATGAAATGGAGCCTTAGGCATAGAGAGCAGTTCAGTGAAGTGCGAGTGTTTGTACTAAATTTCTAAGATAGGGTGTAGTTCAGCATGTTTCTATTCATTGAAAAGATCCAACCAGTGAGGCAGACAGCACCTTGCAGCAGCAGTTAGTGAGTGAGACAGACATTGTAGTATCTTCTGTCATGCTGAGTATTCACATGAAAAAGTTGTTTCATAAATCTAAAGTGGAATAACACATATTAAATTGAATTACTACTTTGTCATATGGTAAATGTCCATATATATTGACACCTAATTCTGGAATCATTAAATGAATAATAACTGTATCTGCTATGTGCCAGAACACTCAAGGAACAGTATATATTAAATTATTTTATGTTTTGCCCTGGCTGGTGTGTCTCAGTGGATTGAGCACTGGCCTGCGAACCAAAAGGTCACCGGTTTGGTTCCCTGCCAGGGCATATGCCTGAGTTGAGGACCAGGTCCCCATTTGGGGGCAAACAAGAGGCAACCAATCAATGTTTCTCTCCCTCTATTTCTCCCTCCCTTCTCTCTCTGAAAATAAATGAATGAAATCTTTTTTAAAAAATAAGTGAATGAATTCTTTTTGTCTAGGTCTTTGACAATTTAACTGTAAGTCATGTTTATGTCATTAAATTATTGCTATTTTATTTCTTGTTTCAGTTAGTATTTGATGTTTCAATTCAATTTTGCTTATACTTTAACCTGGTCTCATTTTATCTTCATTCTTCATATTCTTAGTTTTGTTCCTGTATGAGTTCACATCTATTCACATACCTTTGTGACAAACCCAAACATGAACAAAGTAGATGAAGTCCCTGCTCTTTGGATCAATCAGTACAACTTCGAAGACAGAGAACAATGAAATGTATGTGTGTTGAAATAATGTCATTAGACAGAACCATACAAAGAAAGCTCTTCCCATCTAAATAGATAGAGTTGTCACGGTGTGGGCAGGGTTTACAAAGCGTGGTCTGGGGAGATTTTGCATGTTAGATGAAGACCAGAACCAGGACCAGAGTGTGCCAGCTGGGTTTGTCACAAAAGAGATCAAAACCCACAGCCCAAGAAGTCATAGAAAAGATGCCACATGAGAACAGGAACAAAGGACCTAACCCCATCCCCTATCAGACCATATAACAATGAACTGGTCAAATAATTATGAAATAGGTACCAAAAAAACAAGTCTTCCTCTGCTTGATTATAAAAACCACCAATTTTGTTACAATTTACATGTTTTCTTTTGCAAAGTGTGGGTTCATCCCTTTGCTTTGGGTGTGTGGTATGGAAAGATAACGATCACGGTATCACCTCTTTTGTCTTCTAGACAGGTTTGTTTTTGTTCTTTCTTTTATTATTTTTGCTGGGTGTCAGGGGAATGTGTTTAGGGTTCAAGTGCAGCCAAAACCAAGGGAGACTTTTCTTCCTCAAACCTGAGCTTATTAAATCATTTTTTCTTCAACCATTTCATTTCATTCCTCTCTCTTTCTCTCTTTTTTCCTCGCTCTCTCAGATTTTTATAAAATTGCAACTATTATTTTATTTGTATTCATTATTGAAGTACAGTTATGCTACCTTAATTTCTGGTGTACAACATAGTGATTCGACATTTATACATCTTACAACGTGATCATCACCCTGAGTCTCATAACCACCCATCACCAAGCAAAGTTATTAAGATATTACTGACTGCATTCCCCATGCTATTATACTACACTACATGTCCATGACATTTACTTTATAACTGAACATTTATACCTCTTATTCCCCTTCAACCTTTTCACCCATTCCCTCACTGTCTCCTCTCAGGTAACCCTCTGTTTGTTCAGTGTACCTATCAGTTTGTTTTTGTTTATCTTCAGTTGTTCATTTGTTTTGTTCTGTTCTGTTTTGTTTTAGATTCTACGCGTAAGGGGAATCATATGGTATTTGTCTATCTCTGTCTGATTTCACTAGCATAATGTCCTCTAGGCCCATCCATGTTGCTACAAATGGGAAAATGTCATACTTTTTTATTGTCTCTGTTTCTATGTTGTGAGTATGTGAAACACAGAGATTATTCTTATATTATTATTTATTAATTATTGTATTATTTTCCATTTGAACAACTGCATACATATTTTGCTCCACCCTATATGTATGACATTCATTATATATATTCATATATATATCATCCATTACCCATTCATCTATTGATGGGCACCCAGCAATTCTACTTCTGAGTATTTATCTGAAGAAAACAAAAACACTAATTCAAAAAAATATGAGCATCCCTATGTTCATTGCACATTATTTATAATAGTAAAGATATGAACAGATTTTCTTAATGTTTGTTTAACTACAGAGCAGAACATGGCCATCCCAATATGGAGCCCAAGGGTTTTTGTCCATGGGAGGTATAGGACAGGAATTGCTGGGAACCATTTCTATGATGTGCAGGGGGATGATCTGGCCAAGTTGGTTGTAGCCATTCGTAGCTGAATCAGTATGGCTGGGGCTGAGAAAGACATGCAAATAATACAACAATGGTTGTAGTGTTTGTGTGCATGTGTGTGACTTGTGCATGTGACAGTCCACCAAACAGGGGGGCTAGGAATCACATGCTCCAAGGTAACTCTTACAAACAGGGGCCAAAACTCAATCAAGAGGAGGCACTGAGGAGGGGATCTGTCTCCTTCATGGGACACATTTGCAACAAGATGAATCAAGTACAAGAGGAGTGTGGACGAGGAAGTCCCTGTGTCTGAGGTTTCAGCAGCAGCAGCAGTGAGGCCACATCACTCCAACGTGTCTGACACCTTCTCTCCTCCTCTTCTTCATGCTCATTCACTGCCAACACCAGCTCCATTTCTCAGGCTGAACATTAAAACAAACACCTTCCTCAGGGCTTTTGCACAAGCCAATTCTTTTGCTGAGCACACACTTTCCCAGGTAACCTTGAATAATCCCCTCCCCTTTCTTACTTGGGTTCTCTGCACTGATGCCATCTTGTTTGCAGGTCTTGCCTAAACACCCGTGAAAAATTAAACACCCTCTTCATTTCTTTATACCTGCTTTCCTTTTCTTCTATACCACCTGTCACCATCTGAAATGTTATAGATTTTTATTATTGGATTCTACCCTTCTCTCCATCATTGCCTTGTAGGAAATTTTGTTCTTCAGCATGCTATACTCACAGCCTGGGCAATGAGGGAAACATGGTCTGCATTCAATTCACATTCCTGAAACACATGAAAAACTTCTCATTAAAACTGTAGAATACATGATGCCTTAGGGGAAAAGATGATCGATAGAAAACTTTTATATCACAGGTGGCACCGTGGATTCATACACAATATATTAAAATTAATTTTTGACTGACAATATCAATTGTAACATTTCCAAGTTTTTGTAAAGTAGTCATATTATTTTCCTCTTTCCTAGTAGTCACCTCCACCATATGGAACCAGGCAATGGTACACAAATTTCAGAATTTCTTCTCCTGGGATTTTCAGAGAAACCAGAACTGCAGCCCCTCCTATTCGGGCTGTTCCTCTGCATGTACCTGATCACTGTGTTGGGAAACCTGCTCATCATTCTGGCTGTCAGTTCAGACTCCCACCTCCACACACCCATGTACTTCTTCCTCTCCAACCTGTCCTTGACTGACATCTGTTTCACCTCCACCACCATCCCAAACATGCTGCTGAATGTCCAGACACAGAGCAAAGCCATCACCTACGCAGGCTGTATCACCCAGATTTATTTTCTTATACTCTTTTCGGTGTTGGACATACTTCTCCTGACCGTGATGGCCTATGACAGGTATGTGGCCATCTGTCACCCCCTGCACTACACAGTCATCATGAACCCCCGGCTCTGTGGGCTGCTGGTCCTGGTGTCCTGGATCATTAGTATTCTGAATTCCTTGTTACAGAGTTTAATGGCATTGAGGCTGTCCTTCTTCACAGTCTTGGAAATCCCTCACTTTTTCTGTGAGCTCAATCAGATGATCCAACTCGCCTATTCTGACACCTTTCTTAATAACATGGTGATGTATTTTTCAGCTCTCCTGCTAGGTGGTGGTCCTTTTGCTGGGATCCTTTACTCTTACTCTAAGATCGTATCCTCCATACGTACAATCCCATCAGCTCAGGGGAAGTATAAAGCATTTTCCACCTGTGCATCTCACCTCTCAGTTGTCTCCTTGTTTTATTGTACAGTCCTAGGCGTGTATCTCAGCTCTGCTGCCACACACAGCTCACGATCAAGTGCAATCGCCTCAGTGATGTACACTGTGGTCACACCCATGCTGAACCCCTTTATCTATAGTCTCAGGAACAAAGACATCAAACAAGCTCTGACAGCACTTTTTGTGAAGGAAATGACCAACCGGCCAATCGTCCTAAGACTGGAGTAGTGCCTGTGATTGTTGAGGTCAAAGTCTCAGAGTCAGCTATTGTGGCTATTTTCAGACTAAGGAAGTAGAATCTTCTCTTTCTATTTATTTTCTGGAATCTCCATTTCTTTGACCTTAACTTCTCTATTCAAGTTCAGAAACTCACTTTATTAAGCTTTCTTCTCTCTTATGTCCCACAGCTTTTCCCTTTGTTGTTTTTCTACTTTCCCAAAATTATTTCCATCATGGGTCAGAAGTATTTGGAAAATCCCATTTACCTAATGAGACAACATGATTTTTTAAAATATTTTTTCTCAAATGACATATATCATATGAAATATTTTTTTTTACTAAAAGAATCATCCTGAATCATACTATTCCTATGGGGAAAAGTACACTTAATTACCAAGGAAATTTATATAATTTTATAAGTGAGGAAAATGTGAAACCACCGTTTTTCACTTTTATGTCTGACATTCATTTATATACATCTTTATGTCTTAACTGTTCTTCTTGACAAGGTAGACTCTAACATACCAGTGTGTTTAATAACCAGTTCCTGAATTTTATTCTCCTCATTAGGATTCTGTTCCCTTTCAGCTCAATGTTCACAATCCCTCCTAAGCCCTTCGCAAAACAATTATCAAATACATGTCTCCAACAGGTCTTCAGTGAAAGACAGATTTTAATAAAGTTGACCTAATATGACCTTTGAATCACAGATGACCTTCAATACAGTGAAGCCAAATTGTGTAATTACTGTGCAAAATATTTTTCCCCATGATGTGCATCTAGGAACATGAAACACTGGCATCCATGAGTAATCAAGGGTGGGAGGTGGGGATGCCTGGGGTGGGGGGAGTGGTGGGAGGAAATGGAGACAGCTGTACTTAAACAACAATAAAAAAGTAAACTTAAAAAAAAAGGTGGGGGAAAGAAAGTTTTGTGTCCATGTGTAAAGGGGTTTATAATAGATATGATAAAAAACCTCATTAGTATTTTTCTATTTTTTATTGAATTGTCTTTGTGTTTCTACTTTAAAATTTCCAGCGTTCTCTATAATATGACTCATTTCATTGCTATAAAGGCAATATATTACCCCTTCTAAATTTTCCATCACCACAGAAGGGATGGTGAGTGATCACTGTCAGTGTTATCCATCATTATCTCCACGATGTTCAGGACTCCATCCATCCTTTCTGACCAAGGAATGACTGAAGAGAGACCTTGGGGTCCTGTCAGTCATGTGAACCAGAACTGGCAGTTTTCCTACACAAACATGCATGTCCTTTAACTCTCCTGGTTTCAGGGAAATGAACCCCCAATGAGAGATCTTAGATATAGTGATCTGTCTTAGAAACAGAGAACAGACTGGCAGTTGCCAGAGTGGAGCAGGTTGGAGGGCTGGCTAAAAAAAAGTGAAGGGATTAAGCAGTACAAATTGACAGTTACAAAATAGTCACAGGGATATAAAGCACAGCATAGAGAATATAGTCAGTAATATTGCAATAACTTAATTACTAAGTATGGTGCCAGGTGGATACTGAAAATATTGGGGGCATCCCTTTGTAAATTATATGATTATCTAACCACTATGCTGTGCACCTTAAACTAATACATTGAATGTCAACTGTAATTGAAAAATAAAACTAAAACAAGAAAGTGCACTAATCATATGTCAGAACATTTAAAAGAGCCCTGGCTGATGTGGCTCAGTGACTGGCAAACCAAAGGGTCATTGGTTCAATTCCCAGTCAGGGCACATGCCTGGGTTGTAGATCAGGTCCCCAGTAGGGGGCACAAGAAAGGCAACCACACACTGCTGTTTCTCTGCCTTTCTTTCTCCCTCCCATCCCCTCTGTCTAAAATGAAATAAATAAATTTTTTTAAAGAACACTTAAAAGAGAAATTAAAAATTAATACTATTTTCAGCATTTAAAAAATATATTGCTCCAGAGCATTGAAAATGAAGTAAATAAATACATACAAGTTGTCTAAAACAAGCTAAAATGACAGAGTAACCAGGAATGCTATCTTCAAATATGAGAACAAATACAAGATTGTTCTTCTGTATACTTAGTGCTAATAAATCATCTTTTATACATATTTCCAACTTGTTTTTATGTCTATTATCCTTTATTGTTCCTTTTGGCCTTCTGTGATTAGATCTATTTCTAAACCTTGCATCATCTTCAGCCATTATATCCACATTTAACTAAAGATCACCTTTCTTTCCATAAGTGTCCCATTTAAATCCACCTATCTTTTTTCTTAGAAGAGAGCGCAAACACAGTCCCCCACTACCACAAATCATGCAGTCAGGTTTCCCACATTTGGGGAAATCGCAGGGGTTAGCACACCCGGAGTGCAATGCATGAGCCTCACCCTGGGAAAACCACCTCCATGACATGGCATCTCCCCTGCCAGGTAAGTATAAAATCCATCTCTCTTAACATAAGAAATTATAACTGAGAGACTACTCCATCTGCATTTTTAAAAACCCCTCTATTATATTTTTCATTTCTAAGTCCTTGGAAATCTACTGGATCAGTGACCCATGTTAATATCCTTAAAATATTATTTTGTGTCTTTCAATAAGTTAATTTTAGATTCTCACTCAATTTTGTTCATAAAATTATTTTGAAACCTATTTTTAGTATAATTCACTCCTACTGACGATCTGTATACCATAAGTTGTTAGTTTTTTTTAAACTTCTCTTCCTGTGTTATGCTCACATGCACACTCATGGGCTTTTGTACAGATGCATAAACAGCATCATGGCCATCAGAAATGCTCTTTGTGTGTTGTGCAGTTTTTTTCTGTGTCCACTCTCCCTTCTACTCAACAATACCTATGGTCTTCCCTTCAGTCAAAAAAGGAGTAAGATACTGATTCATTATTTCCATGTCTACATAATATTCTGTGGTGTGGCTCTGCAAGTCACACCTGAAATCTAAGGTACACTTCCTCAGTATATTGCTATTATAACAATATAAGAAAATATTTTGAGATTGTTACATTAAAACTCTGGTTCTCCACCAGAGGCAATATATTGTTCCCCCAGGGGCCACTGAGCAATGTTTGGATACATTTTTGGCTGTCACATGGGAGGTGCCAATAAAGTCCAGGGATGCTCTGAACGTCCTGCAATGCCCAGGAGAGACCACCCCTCAGACAAAGACCTGGCCCAGGATGTCAGCCCTGCAGAGACTGAGGAGCCCTGCGTTAGAGATACAGGTCCTCATAGTGTGTGCGGCTGCCTTCAGACTGTTTTCCCGATGTTGTAGCACTTCACAGTTCTGCCAGGAAAAAACAGAGCATCCCTTTGCTACCTGTTTAAAAGTTCAGCCCCAGTTCTTTACGTTTACCCCAGACTGGTGGGTATGAAAGAGATGTTTTTGTTGTTTTCTAAACTATTACTGACTTTGATCAATAATTCATATATTTAATGGCCATTTTGAGTATTAGTATTATATGCTCATATACGCCTATTATTCTACCATTATCAGCCTTTTACATTATTTTTCACAATTATTGTTTCTCAGCTGACTTTTGGGAGACATTTTGGCAATAAAAATGTTCTGTGTTTTATTTAGTTAAATATGTCTGTCTTCTTACTTCTGAGTCTCTTGACTTGATTACAATGATTTGGCCCACCCATAAAAATTAATATGTAGGTTTTTTATCTGTTCACCTAAAAAGTCTTGGTTAGCCTTCCAGTGAATAGGCAATCCCTCTGATATTTTGTAATGTAAGTGATCAACTTCACTTGCTTCCAGTTCGATACTTATTTTGCCAGCTCTTACTGAAAAATCCAAATATATTGAAATGCAAACTTTCCATGTGTTAAATGTACTTATATACTGAGACTTAATTCCTGATTCATTCAACAAATAATTGCTGAGCATCTGCTGTTTGTCACGATGTCTAGGAACTTTTAACATCACTTTCTATGTCTATGCCTTTGCCAATTTAATTGCTAATCCATGTTGATATCATTAAATTATTACTATTTCATATCTTGTTTCTGTTAGTTTTGATGTTCCACTCAATTTTTTGATACAGTTGCTTGAAAATCATTCTGGTTACTCTAATTTCATTCTCCCTGCCATTCCTGTCATTTCATAACCTCACATTTATTTAAATGTGTTCTATGTAAGTGCACATACATTGCCATACATTTGTGAAAATAGAAAGGTGAACAAAACAGGTGATGCCCTGCTTGTTCAGATCTTGTATTATGATGGTGAAGGCAGAGCACAATGAAATAGATGTTTGCATGACAACACATGCAGGCTTAAAATCATATAAAGAAAGTTACTCGGTATAAAAGGATGGAATTGTCACAGCATGTGCAGAATTTTCTAGAATATGGTCTGGGAGGTCTTTGCATACTGGATGAAGACCAGAACCAGAATTAGTGCATGCTGGTTTGTCAAAAATAAGATCAAAACCCAAAGTCCAAGAAAAACAGAAAGGATGCCACTTTAGAGAACTGAGAAAGGGACCTGCCTCATCTGCAATCCAACTTTATAAGACCCCCCTTCCTTGCAAAAATAATTCACACACACAGTCATCATCAACATCATCATCATCATCATCATCATCATCCCTCACCACACCTATCTAAATAGGGGGCACTGCTGAGATTAAAACTGACTTCACATATAGATGAACCATTGCAAATTATGGATTTTATAAAGATCCCAAATCAAATCAGATGTGAAACCAGGAAACAAACAAGCAAGACAGTTGGACAAATTGGAAAACTGACTAGATATTTGATTATGCAAAAAACTTGTTTTAATTGTAGTGTTTGATGTTGTGTTCCTGTTCTAAAGATCCCTATCTTTAACAGACACTAACATGTTTACAAATAAAAACATGCACTTTTGGGTATGTATGGCCAGCTCACTCCATGGGATGAGAACACCACTCATTTAGGAGTTGATCACGTTTGAGTTAAGATGATGAATACATGGGAGTTGGCTTTTCTCTATTCCCTGCCTTTGTAAATTGT